CGTGCGGAGTCTTTTGACATTTGCATCCTGGCTGCCGTGAATACGCGCGGCGAGATATCGCCAAGACGTCACTCGAAGCTGGATAACATCGGCGGATTGCGAGTCGCGCCGCTGGAAAAAGAGGAAGAAGGGGCTTCGGGGACTCCCCGTCGAGCGAAATTCCGCCATGGACTCCTTGTTAGAACCATCGCGCGCCATTGTGCCACGGGACGATACTTGGGAAGACTGTTTCGAAAGAATTGAAATATTCCAACTGGAGGGAGTTTAGAGGTGTTCGAGAAAGGAAGTGAGATGGAACTGCGGCAAGGAAATTGTAATTAAGAATGGTTGAGATTTGCGACAGAGTGAGACGATTCAGTGGAAGTGATCTTCTAATTGTGGAAATTAATTTAAGTAGCGTGACGTGATAAATGAAATGTTTTGAACTTTTGGAATTTTCAAAAGTATATTTAAGATGATTTCTGACAAAAGAAGCTGAAAGATTGTGAATAGTACGAGTTAGGGTTAAATCTACTTGGACTTCGATGGTATTTATCAAGGAATATTCAGTAATATTGTTTAAAACTTGGAAATGTATTGATATATGCAGTTCCTTTGTAATAAAAAGAATTTAATAATTGTAACTTTGTGTATACTATTTCTTACACTTAAAATACCAAGGACGTGTTCACAATGATCTTTAAAGAACACGATACATTGTGTTAACAGTTCTATTTCCCTAAAAAAAAAGCTACTTTCTGTGCACCCTATAGATTCACTTCAAACATCTTCTCTTCTCGTCCACCAAACTGAAAAATCATACAGGTACACTATTGTCCCCACGTAAAATATTCCAAGGCCCCGTAAAAACCCCCGTACACTATTGTGTTTCGGCATAAGATATTCCAAAAAGGTGCATACATCGATAACCACATCCAGAAGCATAAATTTACGACTTCTCGGTACATACATTTCCATAATTCCACCGAAGGATTCGAACTCCTTTCCTCCCCTACTCTTTAAAGGTAACAAATTCCCCTCTTCTTGTGGTGAACGCTTCCTGAAATAACCGATACGTCTCTCGCACCGTCGAATTCCGCGAAACTGTTCGAAGAGGACAGAGGATAAATATTTTCTGCCGCTTAATACCATGCATTAAGACCTTGCATGGCTGGTCCTCCTCGCGTAAGTACGTGCTTGATACTCATTAAACGATTCCATCGATACGGGCTATCATTATCGGCGTGATAATAATCAATCGAAAATGTTTCACCGCGGCGGCGATTAATCGATTTCCAATCAGCTGCACGCCGAAGATCTAAAGACGTTCTGCCGTGTATGCTGTACAAGGCGAGTCAATACGAACTGGCAAATCGACGAGAAATACTAATTAGCAAATACGACGTTAAGAAATGTTCGAACGATCTCTTTCGCGAATTCCTCTTGACAGTTCTTTTCGTACTGTACAAAGAGTATTTTAATATTTTTTTAATATTAATATTATTTTGAAAGTATTGTGGC